ACGAAAAAAGACAAAAAGGAAAAAAAAAAGAAAGTACATGGAATGTGACTTGTAAAGCCTCTCACAACTGAAACTGTGTGTGTATGAATGTTTAAACCAAATCTAGAAAGCTTACAATAGAGCTGCAGAGAAGTAGTATTTATTTCAGAATCACGCTTATAAACATGAGAATAAAATAATTATGGTTCCAGTTTAACTCTTATAATTGCAGAATTATATTTTTGCTGTTAATGTTATATTAGAATAATTTTTAAATGTTATCTTGTAATAGAAGTATGTATTTTAAGTGCCAATGCAAAGGTAAATGAACACTTTTTAAATGTGTGTAGTATGGTTTTTTTCTCTATAAGAATCATAAATGTTAAGCTAAACAAATTACCTATAATGGAAGTGATTAATAATTTATGAGCAAGCTGGTTCGTGAGACATTATACACAAACTTTGATATACTACAGATTTAATACACTTGTGAAATTCTCTTGTCTAACCTAAACTTACGTTCCATGGTCATAACATGGTATATGTATTGTTATTAAAAGAAAGTGAATACATCAAATGTCTTGTATTTATTTCAGTTTGGAAAGCTAAACCATTCTTCAAAGTAGCCCAAAACTTAAGTTCCAAGAAAAAAGATAAAATGTTTGGTACCTTTGGAGGAACCACCATTAAAGAATATCTACCAAATAGAAACAATGGCTAACAATTACCAAGTATTTGCTATGTTCCACACACTGCTCTAAGCACTTCTGATGTATAGTGTCATTTAAACTTCCTAACAACACTAAGAGATAGGAGCTCTGCACAATTTCATTTAAGCTTTCTATTGACAGCGCTAAAAGGTAGGAACTATGATCCTCATTTCACAGATGAGAAGACTGAGGCATGAACAGCTTAAGTAACTTGTCCAAGGTCACATAGCTAGAGAAGGTTGTAGGGTTTGAGACTGGAAGCTGGGCAGTCTAGTTTAACTGCCTGTATTCCATTATGCTATACTGCCTCTAGAACTGATCTCATGATTATGTGTTTTTTTCTAGTTTATATTGGATGGGATCGTCCTTTAAGAGGGACAGCAATCTATTCTTTTGAAGCATTTTGTTTAGAAAAATATAGGGACATTAAATGGTAGATGACAACAGGTGTTAAGAGACTTGAAATGTTGGTCTGTGTGGAATTAATAATGGAGTGGCAGCAGTTATAATTAATAAAGTTAGACAAAAGCTCCAAATTAGGGTTCTCTCAGTCTTTTCCTATCTATGAAATGAGTGCTTGGACTAGGTAACTTCTATGGTCCTGTTTAGCTGATAGGTCATTATGTAGCTCTACGTGAAAGTGCTCTAAAAATATAAGATTAAGAACTATTTCCTCAGGTTTGAATAGACATAAATGCTTGTAGGCAGTACTAACAATTGTTTCATGACGGATAAGCTTTCTGCAGAGGAGCAAATTTGGGAATAAGTTTCAGAAAATTGTCATTTTTTTGTCTGTTCCCTACTGTTCTGCTTTGTGTTTTGATGATTTTAAAAATATTTTACTGATAAGCTTTCTGCAGAGGAGCAAATTTGGGAATAAGTTTCAGAAAATTGTCATTTTTTTGTGTGTTCCCTACTGTTCTGCTTTGTGTTTTGATGATTTTAAAAATATTTTACTGTATGGTGTGTTTTATTTTCTTTTTGTGGGCAATTTTTGTTTTGGTGATTATTCATGTAACACTCTTCTATTTCTTTTCAGTCATATTTCCTCTTCCTCTCCTCCACCACCACCACCCAATACTAGTCAATATTACCTTTCTTAAAATTTACTCTTGTACTGCTAAATATGCTTCTACTTCTGTTTGACTTGTCAGCTTAGCTTTAACTGATAGACTTTGGCTCCCAACTATGAGTTTCCTCAAGAAAGACTCATGGAATAATTCCCCTAAATCTTTTCATGTTCAAATATGTTTGTAGCATTTACACAGTAAAAGCAATTTGGCTAGATATAAAATTCTTATATTTTCTTTGGAAATATTGAACATGTTAACAAAGTCATGTGACATTTTCCCCTAAACAAATGACTTGATATTTTTGCTTGGCTGCTAATTATCTCTTCATCCAGTCCAATAAATTTGATAAAGCCTTTTTTTTATTAAAGATGACCAGTAAGGGGATCGATCTTAACCCTTGACTTGGTGTTGTCAGCACCATGCTGTCCCAAGTGAGCTAACCAGCCATCCCTATATAGGGATCCAAACCCGTGGCCTTGGTGTTATCAGCACCACACTCTCCCAAGTGAGCCACGGGCTGGCCCATGATAATATAAGTCCTGGTATTGACTTTTCTGGGTCAATTTTCACTACATTTTCAGAAAATTGTCATTCTAATAGATGATTACACTTGGTTTTGTTTAAATAAATACTAATTTGAAAGTCATTGGTCTAGACAAAGGCAGAGGATAGGGAGAGGAGAACAAGAGTGAAGTGTAAAGATGGTAATGAGAATTATGTGTTCAAGAGAAAATGAGTGGGGTTGCTTTCCTGAAGAAGGGAATGGTATTTTAGGTTGAATGGATAGGCTGGAATCAGATTATGGAAGTTCTTAAAAGTTGTTCAGGTGGATGTGATAGGATTTTTTATTGAATGAGACCTGGGTTCATGATTCTGCCAACCCTAGCCAAATAGCCATGGTTTTCTTGTAAAATGGGGACAATATCAGTGGCTTAGCATAGCACCTGATGCATTAATAAGCTCAGTCAATGGTTACTGTTACCATTATTACTGTGTCAAGTATAGGAATGCAGCAGCACAGGAGACACATGGGCCCTGCCCTCTGAATTTATAGTCTAGCAGGGAAGGCTGGCATTAAATAAGTGATTACAACAAAGCTTGATGAGTACTAGGTATAGGATGCAACAGGAACATCTGGCTGGGGACCTAACCCAGAGCTGGGGTTGGAAAAAGTCTCTCTGAGGAAGCAATGAAATGGTATGTTGATTTTTCATTGAGAGTTAATTTCCTTGGCTAAGTTGGATATTACTGGAGCTTTTTTCCAAGCTGTCTGTTTGAGGACATGATTGTCATTTTCATCAAAGCACCTGGCATTAGTGCCTGGCTCATATAAGTGTTCAATAAGTGGTGAATTAATTAGAATAATAAGATTTTGGTTTTTTACATTAAAGGTTCTGCTATCCCTAGAAGTTACCTCTTTCTAGTTAATGAGCAACAGTGACATCTGGTGGTGAGAGCTGGAATCTCTCCACAAGTCTAAGTCCCTAAGTATTAATTAGAATAATAAGATTTTGGTTTTTTACATTAAAGGTTCTGCTATCCCTAGAAGTTACCGCTTTCTAGTTAATGAGCAACAGTGACATCTGGTGGTGAGAGCTGGAATCTCTCCACAAGTCTAAGTCCCTAAGTATAGAGTGGCCCAGGCCACGCCAAAGGAGGATTGGTCATGTAGGCTATGCCTCTTGCCTCAGATGAGGAACTGCTGCTCAGAGAGTTTTAGGGACTTGAAATTTAGGCTCTGGGCTGGCTGTTTAGCTCAGTTGGTTAAAGCATGTTTCTGATAACACCAAGATCCAGGGTTCCATCCCTGTATTGGCCAGCTTCCCCCCAAAAAAGAATTTAGACTCTATCCCCATGGAAGTCTACAGCCCATCACATCATTGCTACTAGGCCAGAACAAAGCTGAATGAACATAAAGTGAAGGTTCTCATGGGTCCAATAATGGAACTGCCAATTATTATTTATATACTTGGTCCTATTTGAAAGCTCTTTAAATAAAATGGGGAAATTTGAGAGAGGAAATCGAACATACACCAGCCTTAACTGAATTGCCACTTTATCAGTGAATGATATACTTGGTATAAATTCATGAAAGAACTAGCACTGTCCATGCAACCTAGTTTCATTCTTAGGTAAAGAGAGCCTATTTCTACTTTCCCCTTCATCCGTGAAATGAGGCAAAAGAAAGAATTTGTTTTTAACAAGATGAAAGTTAGGAAAATTTTCCTTAAATTAGTCACGATTAATGGGTCTAGAGTAGAGGTCACTATCCATTTTGGTCCCCTCAGAGGAACCCAGAAACAGATCCTCTGTGTTGTACTCTGAGCTTATAATGTTGATGTTAGTTCTCTTTCCTATCCCCAATGTAACTGAAGTGTTAAAAAGTAACTAAAATGCCACCACACCTTTCAGTTATAGTTCTTACCTAATCACACCTCATCTACAACCATATTTACTGTCTTCCCCACTGGTGTACTTCCTAGCTTACCCATTTCTGTCAGTGATACCCCTGTCTCCCACTGTTACCCCCTGGGCTCAAACTCTTAGAGGTATCTTTCCTTCCTCCTGTTCTTTTCTCACTATTAAACCAGCCACAAAGTCCTATCAGTTTTTCATAAGCAAAGTCTCATCACTCAGATTTGTCCTTTTCTTCTCCCTGTTGCCACCAGTTTAAATCCAGGAACCTAGGCCTTTCACCTCCTGTTTAAGCCACCTAGCATTAGTCAATATTTGTTTCAGCCTTTATAAGAAGGAATCTGAGGAGACCCCCACATACAACTGGTCTTTACAGTGGAGGTGGTAAATAAAATACTAATAAGTGCACAAGGCATTGGGGACATAGTCAACTGGGAAGAAAGTGATAATTACTTAGGTCAGGTGGCTTTCATCCAAGTGTTTTGAAAGACCTTGATATGAGCCAAGAATGAAATTGAGAAATTTGGTGGATGAGGCGGAATGTATTCATCCATTGTGCTGAAGGCTTGGTGGAGAGCTAGGGTAGATCTCATCCATCAGAGATTTCCCTAGGAACTGAGGATTAATGAATCTTGGCAGAACATTGAGTTTATATGATGAGTAAGATTACCATACATACAAACATCTCTTAGATAAAATAGCTCCATGGATAAAATAGACTTGACTGGCCAAAATGGTATTAAGCTAAAACACAAAATGTGCTTGGGGGAGTCTATGGGAGGCTAGTGGCCAACAAAGAAAGCCCAAATCCATGGTGAGTTGAAGAGGCAGAAGTTCTAACAAGAAGGGTCTTACACCTGGAGAAAATGAACAATTTTTATCTATGTGGGGCTCCTAATTGTGAAGTGAGACAATTTAATAAGGCTTAATCCATGCTCACAATATCTTTCTGATGACTCTTGGCTTCATGGGTGTCTGCTTCTGGGAAGGCAGAGGCTCTGGATGTGGGTCACGACCCCTGAATATAAACTAGTAGCTTAGTGTTCTAGTTTATATGTCAGTCACTTAATACCATGAATGGTCTAAGCCTAGCCCCAAGAGAGACACTCATGGTATAATGACCAAATTGGATTTTGGACCTGCAAAACAGATCCAGAGTGGAGAGCTCTGAAATGGAGAGCCAAATGGGGCCTTGGTTTTTAGCTGCAGCAAAACTTTCATTATGAGGCAAAACAGCTAAATGTAATACAGATAATAATATGTACTACTACTAAAATGATAATATGGATAACTGAAGAACATTTCAGTTTATAAAGCACTTTCATGACTCATTTGATTATCATGATAATAAGGATATAGGCAAAACAGCTAAA